TATAATATTATACATTATATATAAAAAAATCTTTAAGATCTATTTTTAAAATAATGAGTTTTTAACTAACAGTAAGATGCTTGCTTTCTTAGCCCAAGCCTCAGCCTTATATGATGCCTCCACCACCTCAGCTGCATTACAATGGTCATTACACTGAACAATATGCATCCTCCCAAGGTAGGTTCATTAAATCCAAGGCCACGCTACACAACTTCAGAAGGTAAAAGCTATAATTTGCATTTATGGCTACAAGCTGAATAAATTCATAGGGTGAACATGGGATACGTTTGTACTACAACACTCCTTGAAGTGCTTGCTGGTACTCTAGGCATATAGGCTACCGTGAAATAGAATCATAGAATTGTTCAGGTCAGAAAAGACCTTTAAGATCATGGAGACCAACTGTTAACCTAGCACTGCCAAGTCCACACTAAACCATGTCCCTAAGCACCACATCTACACGTCTTTTAAATACCTCCAGGGATGGTGGCTCAGCCGCTTCCCTGGGCAGCCTGTTCCAACACTTGACAACCCTTTCTGTGAAGAGATTTTTCCTAGTCTCCGATCTAAACCTGCCCTGGTGCAACTTGAGGCCATTTCCTCTTGTCCTATCACTTGTTACTTGGGAGAAGAGACCAACACCCACCTCGCTACAACCTCCTTTCAGGTAGTTGTAGAGAGCGGTAAGGTCTCCCGTCAGCCTCCTTTTATCCAGGCTAAACAACCCCAGTTCCCTCAACTGCTCCTCCTCCATATCCTCTCCTATGGGATATGAGCAAAGTTAGTTATGATAGCATATACAGCAGCTATAGACTTGTGTGAGTTTAAGCTGATTGTTGTTTTTTTGGTTCATGTACCAAACTGGTATGTGGCATTGCGAGATCCTTGTCAATATTGGTCTTAATAGCTGCAAAAAGTAACTGAGCCCCCAGACAATTCAGACAATTAAAAAATAACAAAAAAAAAAAAATTAAACACAGGATGCAGGAAGAGAGAAGTTTCTCTCAGAGTTCGCTAGAGTACAGGGTGGTGGGGAATGCAGAGGCTAAGGAAGTCTGCAAGTTATGTTCAATTGGTATACATTTGATTGAAAAAAAGAAAGAAGAAAACCCAGGCAAACCTTAATTAGAATTCTCAAGGGATGCACGCTCCTAATCTAAGCATTTTATAGTGGAGTCATGGCTGCTTTCTCTCCTTTTTTTTGATTGTTACACATTGTGTCTTTAATTAACAAAGTTGCTGCCCTGAAGGGCTTAATCTAATCTTTTGCAAAGTTGCCTCAGTTTTGATAGGGACCTTCCAGTCCTACAAATCAACTGGATAAAAAAAAAATACTCTAACAACTCACTGGTAAGGGAATAAGCACATTTTCTATTAAGCAGAGTTACACAAGTATTTATGAAGGTACAGGTGTATAAATTCAGAACGTAGCTGAATTCTTTCCAATTTAGTGTTGGAATTATTGCTGGATACTTGCTACTGTACACATCCTATTTCTGAACAATTTTTTCAAAAACAAAATAATTTTTTGAGTGTCAGCGAATTCATTAACATAAGAGTGGCAGTTACTATGGTGAACCTGAAGAGTTAAATCATGAAAGGCATCTAAAGCAATGACTGAATTGTTCTCTTCTGGAGCTTGGAAAATTGTACATCCAATGAATTAATGGGTGAATTATTAAATGTATATTGGATGTATAAACTGTTAGCTCATTTTCTTTACCCATCAGAGTGGGTATATGTTAATATGCAAACAATACATGGTGGTGGTTTAAACTATCTCCAAGATTTCTGGAGAAAAGTTAATTTGTTTTTGTTTTTTTTTTTTTTTTTTAAGGTCTTGTACTATATCTACTTATGGACTGGGGGTGGGAGAAGAGTGAGGGGTTTTTTGCTTGGTGTTGTTTGATTGTTTTTAGGTTTTTGGTGCTTTTTTGGTTGCTTTTTTTCCTTTCTTGCTGTTTAAACTGATCTCATTAGTGCAAACTGTGGTGTAGATGTCCTTTCTTTCAATTAGGGTGGTGTAAGATTGATGTGGATTTTGTTTAACTTGAACTGAAGCTTAACAAACCTATCCTAAACAGAAGAAAGCCATTCTTAAACTGAGACAATGTTTTCCAATAGGAATTTGCATCATCTAAATGAATATAATAGGTTATTCTGGTATACGTACTTTAGGTATCAACAACAACAAAGAAGCTGGGGTTGTGTTTTTTTTCCTTCCCATTTCAATACATAGCTAAGAATAACTGAGATTTTGAAAATCTCAAACATTGGTTAGCTATGTCTTAAAAGAGGCTATCTTTGTTTGTCTTAACAGAGGATATCTTTGTTTGATGTCTTGGACATAAAGATTGTTCTTAAACTTTACTTTCAGATAACCTCTTTGTGAGCAATCAGAATGGATACTACTGTCACTCTCAGACTAGCTTGGATAGAGCCCCTCATGACTACAGTGGTCGGATCCGCAATGGTAGTGTCTATAGTGCACATAGCACAAACTCCTTGAACAATCCACAACATTACTTGCAGCCGTCCCCCATGTCCTCTAACCCAAGCATTACTGGAAGCGATATCCTCAGAACTGATTATGTCCCATCACACAGACATAGTGCACTAATACCACCTTCTTACCGTCCCACGCCAGACTATGAGACTGTGATGAGACAGCTGAACAGGGGAATGGTGCACACAGATAGACAGAGCCACTCAATGAGAAATCTTAACATCGGCAATTCATATGCTTACAGCAGGCCTGATGCCTTAGTTTACAGTCAACCTGAAATACGAGAACATGCTCACTTTGCTTCCCCACAATCTAACCATTATCCATTTAACTTGAACTACAGTTTTCATAGCCAATCCCCCTATCCCTAGCCTGCTGAAAAGCGCCCAGTTGTTGGGGCAGTCAGTGTGCCTGAGTTGACAAATGTGCAGCTTCAGGCTCAGGACTATCCAGCACCAAATATAATGAAGACCCAAGTCTATCGACCACCTCCCCCATACCCATATCCAAGACCTGCAAATAGTACTCCAGACCTTTCACGACATATCTACATTAGCAGCAGCAATCCAGATCTGATCACAAGGCGAGTGCACCATTCTGTCCAGACATTTCAGGAAGACAGCCTGCCTGTGGCACATTCTCTTCAGGAAGTCAGTGAACCTCTAACATCGGCACGCCATGCTCAGCTGCAGAAAAGAAACAGTATTGAAATAGCAGGCTTGACTCCCAGCTTTGAAGGAATAAGAATTAAAGAGAGGACCATGTCAGCTTCTGCAGCAGATGTGGCTCTTCCGCGAGTTATCTCAGAAGGGTCACAGCCCAACATTCTGATGGAGAGAACAAAGCAAAAAGAAAGTGAGCAAGAAGAAAGTGTGAACTGTGATCATAAGAAAACCCTTTCAGATGCCACTATGCTGATTCACAGTAGTGAGGAAGAAGAATTTGAAGAAGAAAACAAGGCTAGTACAAGTCTTTCTCCTCTCCCTGAAGATCAAACACAACTTTCACCTGTTATGGGTGGTTATTCTCATGATTCAGTACTGAACTACCCTTATAGCTCTGTTGCTTCATCTGCTGGCCCTTTGCATATTCTTGAGCCTAAATTACATATTACAGAGACAGAAAAGAGAATGAAAGATATGAGCCCTGTTCATTTACTAGTAGAAAGCCAGGTACAGAGAAGAGGGGAAGGACTGCTTACTCCATCTATGTCGGAATCTGATCTTACAACGTCAGGGAGATACAGAGTAAGGAAAGATTCAGTAAAGAAGAGACCTGTGTCCGATCTTTTGTCTGGGAAGAAGAATATTGTGGAAGGCCTTCCCCCGCTAGGTGTAAGTGGATACTATTCCTCTTGTTTCGGGTTGTTCTGTAGCGGGAGTGGTGTGGGGTTTTTCTTTGAAGTTTGGGGTTTTTTTTAATCAACCTGCGATACTTTTAAAACATGTGAATTAAAAGCTACCTTAAGCTTGACCTTTATTTTCTGTTTTTCCCTGATTAACTTTGCTTAGCTATCTTTTATCACCTTCTCTGCCATGTCCCAGTTCTGTTTGTATAGTCCTCCCGCACAAATCCAGCTGTGCAGCCTCCATCTGTCTGATACACCTAACCTGGCTAGCAACTGTAGAATGAGCTAATTTAAAGTCAGTTCTAGATCCCAAATTCTGCCCTACCTATCCTGGAACAGAAGCAACTCTTCCCATTCCACTACCAGCTTTCTAATCTTCCTCTCACTGAAAAATCGGATGTAGCTGAATGTTTACTTTTTTTGATTCATTTGCTTTCTTCTTCTGACCCAAGAGGGGACCTGATGCGTTAGGCAATAAATTCTTTCCTTGCATTCTCTTCTTTCCTCCATCCCTTCCCCTTTTCATATCCTTTCCCTTTTGCCTTCTTTTCAAGCTGTTTTTATCCCACTAAAGGTATTTCTTGCTTGCCATGTCTCTTTCTCCTACTCCAATTTTACAAAGCCCTAAATAGTGAACAACTGCAAGTTTCACCTTCCTGTAATTAACAGAAACATCAAGGTCTGTGTGGGACTGTACAATTTCACTGGCAGTCCTTACCACTTGTTTTATTTTAAACTTTTATTCAGTTTTATGTAGTCTGTGGCATATTTCAGGTGCTAATGAGGAAGACCTTTTTTTTATTATTTTGCCTTTTAAAATTGATGGTTGTTAACTTTGCCTGCCTGAGTTAGTGTCAAACAGTTTTCTGCACAAATTGGACTGCAGTGGAACTACCGTGTAACTTCTACTGCTGTAGTAACTGTTACACCTGATGCTGCAAAAGCTAACCTATGCAAAAGCTATGTATTTAAATAGCTACTGCTCTCACATTTTTTTGTCTGTCAGACTTGCTATACATGAACACAATGAAATGAACCTTCATCAGCTTCAATTCGTTTTATAATTGTGTATGTTTTTCTAAATCTCCTTCCTCTTCTTTGTTATGTGGATATAGGGAAAAAAGGTGTGTTCACATTTAGATAGTCACTTAGTATCTTGTTCTCCAAAAGATACATTTTCAGACACCAATGTGTCTACCAAAATCATGCACTGCCTTTTCCTTCTGATGCCTGTATAAATGTTCAAGTCAACCTTTGAAATGAAATTGATATTAAAACTTTTTCACTGGAAGTGTTCAGTAAAATACTTCCTAGTTCAGTAACATTTAAGAGTGCCATTGCATAATAGAGACTATTACCCTTCTGTATTCAATATTGAGATGAATATCCTGGTAACAAAGCTGGCCCCTACCAATCTTTGCACGTTTTGCTTTTCAATGAACTCTTACTGTTGTGTTTGTGTTCACTTCACTTTTAAATGTGGTCGCATCCTCTTAGCTTTGTCTTCCTATTCCTTACTACCATTTAGTTTTTGAAAACATTGATTATCATTCAAGCAGCATATACACTAACATTTTCAGTGTATTTTTGTTAACAACCAAACTTAGCAACTGCAGGAATGATGAAGTTTTCTCTTACACTTTTTAAAAGAGTCATTTGAATTTATTCTTTCATAAAAATCCCCCTTTGGTGTTTTTCTCAAATAATGAATGGTAACTTCAATAATTTAGATTCATGGCTGGTTCAGGGCTTGGATCTATCTGCAGATCTGTGTTCATGTTTTGTATGTGCAGTTTGTTGCAAACTTAGTCAAACATTTAACTGTATCCAAATATCTTAAAGGTACATGCTCATTGTTGTGCCTGCTTGTAGGGAAGAAAAGTGCCTGCAAACTGAATTGTCTAGCAAGGAATCATTTTTATGTATTTTTGGAGTTGGAAAGTGATTTCAATACCGTTCAAGAATGTTAATTATCCAGAGTTGTCAACTCACACCCTCAGTTGTGAGCTTTGTAGGGAACAATATTTGTCATTCTCATGCAGTTTCATTAACCTGTCTGGAATGAAGACAGACTTGTGTTGTGTCCTTGGAGGAATGTAGTCCCACCACCCTAATCTCTCACTGCAGTGCTTATCAAAAAAAAAAGGTCAGAGCTGTTTGCAGAAGGGGTCAAAGAAGTATCCTTTGCTTAATTGAACTCATCTGGTTTCTGCTTTATAGATTCATCAGATATTTAAGAATATTTACAAGTTTTAGCTTTTCTTTTGCAGGGTATGAAAAAGAACAAAAATGATGCAAAAAAAATAGGGCCTCTAAAGCTAGCTGCCCTAAATGGACTAGCTTTGACTAGAATGCCTCTGCCAGATGAGGGGAAGGAAGAATCAACGAGAGCAACAAATGATGAACGGGTATGTTGAAGTTTTTTAATGCTTGATTTCTCTTTAACGCTAGTGGTTTTTCAAAATGAAAGGTGCTTTGTGTTGACTTTAAAATGCTTCAGATTCAAAGCAACTCAAATACTGAGAATAGAAACGAAATGAAGAATGAGACTTCTGATTAAGTCATTGCTAGAGGTATTGTGTGTAACTCAGATTTTTCTTTAAGATTTAAGATGACAGTGATTCAGATTATAGTTTACCCTTTGAACATAGAAGAAGCAAATGAACTAGTATCTACTGATAATTTTTTATGCCAAGCCTTTCTGTTTTCTCTCTTAATTTTTGGGTTTTCCAGACTGAAAACATGTGAAAATTAAAATTCTGAGTGCGAGATTGAACTTAGTTGTAATTATTAGTAATTCATACAATTTTTACAATAAATGTTGTAGTTAAATTGCATCCCCAGGGTGCAATCTGCTTGTGCAGATTGTATATATCTGTTTTCCTCAGGTGGATCCCTGAAAATATAGACGTAACTTGTGTGATATGCAGAAATTTTAAATTCAGTAAAAGATCTCAGATCACTGAGAGGACATCAGGTTCTAGAATTTGAGGATTATTCTTTGAGAAATAACAGGCTCCATCTGCTTGTTTCAGGGTAAACAAGGTCAGTAAATATACTTGAGCCTGCCTCATATATCATTAAATAGGCGCAGAAAAGTGAAATACAGTCAATATCCAGCCTGTGAAGGGCTGCGTAGAACAGTGTTTTCATCACACATCTGACCAGGGAGCAACTAGATACATCAAGGTCTACAGTGGTTATTGTACATTCTGTGACCAGTGGTCTCTTCAGAATCCGGTTCTGAGCATGGTTGGGCATCCTCAGCTGCAGACCCCCTATAGGTCAATTTGTTGACAGTCACTGGGCAGGGATTAAAACCTGAAGGACCAGTCCTGCTCTCACCAGCTTCAGTTTTAAGGAACAGGTCAAGAAAATTAATTGCAAGTCAGACAGTAGAAGTTTAGTCTTGGAGTTTGAAAGCTTAGAGTGAGATCCATAGGAGGCAGCTTTGACTGTTCCATCTCAACACAGTTTAAGTTCTTTTTGAACTATATATACACTCCTTAAAGATGCTAAGGGACAAAAATTAATATTGTGTTACTGAGATACAGTTCTACATTTAGTACCTGTGTTGGTTATTTCCTTTTACTTACTTCCATCATCTCCTCCTGGATTGACCTTTATTGAATTCAGCCATATTATTATTCAGCTAGCTCTGCCCAAAGTGTTGAGGTAAAAGAAGAATCCATAAAGTCAAGTTATGAAAAAGACACATCCCTACACTTTCTCTTCAGGCAGTCATGTAGAGGTAGAATAGATACCATGAATGTGAGTAATTCCTAAAACAGTTGAGAAGAGGCAATGCAAAACAGACATGTGACATGAAAGGAATTCCAGACTGCAGATACTTTAGAAGATGACTTTAAAGTTGATTCAGTGCCTGTTTCATTGCTGAGCTTCATGTTATTATCAGTTTAAATGAGGAAATTTAGCCTAAAGATAATAAAGGAGTTTGTAAAGTTGATGTATTGATGTATTGGTGTGCAAATTGCGTATGATTGATGTTTTACACCTTCCTCTGCAACATTTGGCATTATGGTTATTTGATACAAGACACTTTTCTGAACTGATACCACAGAGCAGTTGCTGTGAGAGGCTGGGGACATGTGACATAGATGAAATTTTCTGGCTGAAATCTTACATATTATTCCTCTAATTATTGTTTGGCAGAGAGATGCTGGAATTCCAGAAGTGTCTTATGGTTTAGAAGGAACTTGGTTTCAAAAGAATAAATCAGTGGGGGGTGGGGTGGGTGGGGAGGAAGCAGCTTATTAAATAGAACAGAATGAATTATACTAGTAGAAAAAATCCTGGGTTTATACCTCAGCTGCAGCAAGAGGTCCTAAGAAGGCTGTGCTGCTGTATATCAAGTTTAGTGTCTTCAGCCTAAGAAAATGTAGAATATTGGTAGTGAATTATTAGCTCATTGACTGAGGCAAGTGTTTTGGTTTACATTTTTAGAGTTTTTCCTCCATCCAAATGACAAAGTTGACTTAATTTTTTTTTTCTTTTTATTACAAGGTTAAAGGCGTCCTTTTCAAATTATGTAATCTAACATGCTGTATTGAGCAGGAGGATTAATGAGTATTTCTTGTTCAAGGGTATTTGAGGCAGTTTGTAGTATAGCATAGCTATCTGGTTTGGCCAAATATTTCTTTGCCTATCAGGGTTGTCTTCATAGAAACTATGAAGTAATTTTTATTTCACCAGTGGTATCCACAGTCTTTGTGACCTAATGAAGTATAACAGGCTTCTTAGTTTTCACTTGAACAAAATTCCTGCCGGTTAGGGTCCCTTCTAATTTATTCTGGTATGTTTGTGAAAACATTAATAGCTGGAAAAGCATTGAAAAAGTATGTAGGAGAGGAAAATACATACGTTCTATCCTTCATAAATTCTCTGTTAAATATTAGAACATGACTTTGTATGGTTATCTGTGTTCTGTCTTTCAGTGTAAAGTTCTGGAACAACGGTTAGAGCAGGGGACGGTATTTACTGAATATGAGCGCATTCAAAAAAAAAGACTTATAGATGGTGAGTGCTCAGTAGCTCGGCTTCCTGAAAATGCTGAAAGAAACCGGTTCCAGGATGTCCTTCCTTATGATGATACCAGAGTAGAGCTTGTCCCAACCAAAGAAAATAACACAGGTTACATCAATGCATCTCATGTCAAGGTGAGAGAAATATCGTTGGAGAAATATTTTCCATTTCATGTGGTAACTAAAAATGGATTTGGCTATCAGTTTTGGTTTGGTCAGATGAGTAAGAATCCCTCGCTTTCCTCTCTTTTTCCCTCCTTCTGCAGAGTTTTTTTTGGGAAAGGAGGAACCTGGTTTTCCTCATTATGTAGAATAATGGAGGGTTAATTATTAGAGAGGTCATCTGCTTTTTGCTTGTGTATTGATCTACTGTATTCTTTCTCTCTCTGTCTTGTCTCTCTGTGGATTGGTGCTAACAGATGGCACGTCCATTCTTCCCAGAGTTAAGAAGGCAAATAGCTTTATAACAAACTGGGATCCTTTGCAATGATTATGATATTTTTGGACTGCAGTGACAATCCTTGTTATTTCTTCCTATTCTGTACTCTCAGACCAGATCCACAACAGGAAGTAAGCTAGCGCCCAGCTTAAGCTTTTTTGTTTGGTTAGAGGAACAGATGGAGCCAGGGGGAAATCTGGTCTTTCATAATCTTCAGTTGCCTCCTTTCCCGAGCCTTAGCTCTTCAAACTCTGTTGCAAAAAGTGAAGAAGTTGCAGGGTGATCTCAAGAACCTTCAAGGCAGTTCGTTCATTTTCAGTGCATTTACCTTACAATTGGCTTCATGCTTTCTCTGAAAACAGTTGAGATCATCAAAGCAGCAGTTGTAGTTGTGTTGCTGTCTTTTTTTAATAAATCTGTTTGTGCACTGACATGGTAGTATGGTTTCTATACTTGAAGTCATTCACATATGTTGAGTAACTCTTCTGACCTTTCTCAAACAAGATAATATTTTTTGAGGAAACATCAGCTAATTCTGACTTTTTAGTGCAAATAATAGCATTTACAGCACCAGGGTATGAAAGCTTCTCTAAACCCAAATTGGCTAGAAAACTTAAATTCACAAAAGAGCAATACAATTTTATTTACTTACTTTTGCATTATACTTATGATGTAAATAGGTTATCTAGCTATGTGCCTATACAATTTTAAACATTGTGTCTCTTCTGCATCTAATGTGATAAGACGCAGCTAAAAAATGGGAGGCAGATACGACTCACAACGGGCTCCTACTTCTGCAGTGTTGCTGTCTTTTTTCAGTTTATGCATCTTCAAATGGCTGACTTAAGAATTGGGGAAAGGAAGTTTTCAATAATTACTAATCTAATGTCTTTCTTTTTACAGATCTCTGTTGGTGGCATAGAGTGGGATTACATTGCTACACAGGGACCTTTGCAGAATACATGTCAGGATTTCTGGCAGATGATCTGGGAACAAGGGATTGCCATCATAGCTATGGTGACGGCAGAGGAAGTGAGTAAAAACTGAGCCAGGTTTCTCCCAGAAATTCCACAGTGATTTTGTTACAATCTGTTAGAGGAAGGGTATCTTTGCTCCAACAAGAAGACCAAACAAAGATAAATTTCTGGTGACCCCTTTGCCATTCTGTCTTGCTTTCCTTGGCAGAAAGATGTAACTTTGCACTCTTTCTGCTGGAACGTTGGTTTACTCAGTGAGAAACCATAAGACTGTAGTAGTACTTAATAGACGAGAGATACAGTTGTTACAGGAGCATTAGTTATATGAGTGTTCTTATGTTTCTTGTTAAGCAAGTGTTTTACTTTTAAGGAAAGTGGGCGAGAAAAAAGCTTCCGATACTGGCCACGTCTTGGTTCAAGACACAACACTGTAACATATGGAAGATTTAAGATTACCACACGATTCCGTACTGACTCAGGCTGCTATGCAACTACGGGTTTGAAGATTAAACATCTTCTCACAGGACAGGAGAGAACAGTTTGGCATCTGCAGTATACTGACTGGCCAGAGCATGGCTGTCCAGAGGATTTAAAGGGATTTCTCTGTAAGTTGTATTTAATAGCTTTGTTTTGAGTGGGGTGGTTTTTTTTTTTAATACCTCCTAAAATGGCTGCTATACTTGAATTAACTTTTGATAAGTATGCCAAGCATTCTGCTGTAAAAGGTTTCTTCACACCAGCAAGATACTGAATTATATTTTTAGCAGGAATATACTTGCCAGTTTGTTAAAGTGACTGTTTATGTCTGAAGCCAAATATATAATTTACTGAAAGTTCATATAGATAAAAAGAATTGCATCACGTACTACACATTTGAGTATGTTCCAGCAGTAGCAAGACGGCCATGAGCTGCATTTGGTGGGGAATAGGGGAACAAGGCAAGAAAAGCCTTACGAATGTTAGATGATCTTTACAGATCTGTATTGCTTTGGTTGGGATATGACTTGTGATTTATACAGTGTGTCATTTTTCTGTGGGATGTCATTTGCTAAATTACTACTTTTCTGGTGGCCATACAGTGTAAGAGCATGGCTTACGGGGCTTCATCTAAATTTATTATTCTTATCTTGTTGAACTTAATAGCGTACTTGGAAGAGATACAGTCAGTGCGGCGCCATACGAACAGCACTGCGGATCCTAAAAACTCTAATCCTCCTGTACTGGTACACTGCAGTGCAGGTGTAGGACGAACAGGAGTGGTCATACTGTCAGAGATCATGATCGCTTGCTTGGAACACAATGAGGTGATCTCTTTTTCTTTCTCGTGCTTTAAATAATACTAGGTAGTGGAAGAGTAAATAACCTGCCTAATAAACGTTTTATGGTTGTTCATTTGAGCTTTCCCAAGATGCAGCCTTTGGAAGAGCCCTTACAAATATGGCAATTCAACAGAAGTTAATAATCTTCTAGAGTTGCCCACTTACACACTGGGTACTGGAATGCTCATTTGGATTCTTGACTCCATAAGATCAACATCTTATGTTGAGTCACTGAGTGGAACAAGGTATGCCCTAAGCTGCTAAGCATATTTCAGGATTTTGCCTTGACTTTACCACTTTTACTTCATGCCTTAATTTTAATTGATAATATTCAAGAACATGCTTTGTAGCCAGTCTCTGTGCTTGTTATTAAATATTTTATTCCTACGTGTAGTATATTTGCAGTGCAGTCTCAGCAGAGGACAAAGAGATAGTTTAATAGAATAAAACCTGGTCCTGTCAGCTTTTAGCCAGAAGTGAACAGCTGTAAAGTGTTTATTAATAATATAATATGCTAGCTGAGACTCAACAAACTGATTGTTTCGTTGTACATTCCTGTCCTAACACTGTGACAAACTTTTGCAGCCATTAGATTTATGAAGACCCATACCTCATGAGATAGGCAAATTTAACATTATGCATATTTCACAGTGGTGTAGTGCAGTCCATACTGTAGGCACGGGCAATGAATTGTCAGAGCTGAAATTAGAGCAGCTGATTCTGCCCTTAGATCACTGGTACTGCTCTGAACCTCCTGCTGAGAAAGTGCAAGCCAGTCTCCTTGCTCACCAGTCATTTGTAATGGTTTGTTCTCTTCCTCCAGATGCTGGACATCCCACGAGTGCTGGACATGTTGAGGCAGCAGAGAATGATGATGGTGCAGACTCTTTCGCAGTACACTTTTGTCTATGGAGTTCTCATTCAGTTTCTCAAAAGTTCTAGACTTATATAATCCTGCCACTTCCTAAGGGACACTGAAAGAGTTTACAGAAAGAAAATTACAGTTGTCCAGGCAGACCTGCTCTCACTGGTGTTTTCTTCATATGATGAATCACGCAGTCCCCTTTTAGGGCTGGTACGTGACTGTTAAATGCGAGTCAGTGTAACAGTCCCTGCAAAGCAGGATCTTCGCTGGACTAAATTTTTCCCATGTTCAGCTGCAGTTATATTAGGGAATGATTTTACTTGTACTGGTCTGTAGTACTTGCATACATTCTTTAGAGTGGTGTTACTCTGGGCAAAAAAGTATCTTATGGAATGGAATGGAAGTACATGGCACAATTTTACTAACATTATGTTTTAAAGCATAATTGTTAGCTGTGCAAAAGCTAAAATCTGTAGATGCATATGGGGTGAGAAACCTGCTCCTCGGGATTGTCAAGGTCTTATGCGGCTTCATTCTGGTTTCAATTTTGTATTTAGAATAATACATCTATATTTTTTAAAATGAACTTTTGGTTTCCTCTGGTTTACTCAGCAAAATTAGCAGCTCTTAGATATTTAAGTTATTGCTTTAAGGACAGTTATTTTTATATTCAGCATTTTTTAATTAAAAAAAACCAAAAACACCACAACCCAAATTTAAACACCGTAATATTTTCAGAGAAGACTGGCAATGGTTGAACTAACTTTTCAAAAATCATGCAGAAAGTACTGCAGAAAGTAGGGGAAGCTATTGGTAGTTAGCTGTAGTGCTGCGTAATAGAACTGACAAGTGAAAGATGATGTGAACTGTTGATAACTTCCATGTGACTGGAGGCATGTTTACCTGCAACAAGCAGGGGAAAAACAGTCTAATTATCTACAAGGTTATTGGAAACAAATGGATGACAGAAAGTATATGTTCAGTATTATTCATACATTTAGAGTACAGTTTGATTTTACTGGCTGAAATCAAAGTGGATGCAAATGTTTTAAGCACTTTTTTTGCTCTGTTATTTATGTAGTTAAACATAGAAGCTATAATCATGCATTGTTTCATAGGGTAATATACCATTACTAACCTGTTATTTTAGGAAGAACCTTTTAAGTTGATGAAGCGATAGAACCAAAATTGGAGTAAGAAGGTGCATAGTGGCAAAGCGGAAATGATCGTATGAAACATAATGGAGGAGGTGTGGCAGCTATGATTGCTGGTTTACACAGTGCAAAGGTGACCATTAAAAATGTTTATGTTCCCAGTCAAGAAAGCCTTTAAAGCACGGGAAGTTTCTGTAGAATCCTCCAGATTATTTTGTCAGCACTAGAACAGATTTTGCTAATGCTTCATTGCAGTTCTGTTGCAATGAAGAATATCCACAGAAGCCCTTCGAGAACACCTGCAGAATGTAAGGGCTCTTAGAGGTGACACTGGAGATGTGAGTATTTTGGTAGCTGTGTAGGTGGCTGAGTCAATGGCTGTGGCATGGATCTGAAGATGAGTCGTACCTTTGGTAGTTTCCGTTTTGTCCCATGGGTCTGGTCTAATGATGGTATCCCTAAATAATCCTCTGTCTGTGGTTTTCAAATGGGGACAGTGTGGTTTTACCTGCCTTTTCAAGTGTTTGAGATGCTGATTTGAAAACCCCTATTGAGCTCTTAGTTTTTAGATGCCTGGTTTAATTTAAAATAAAAAACCCTATGATAGACCAGTCTGCAGGCACGTTTAAGTGTCCATTTCCCTTGCAACCTGTTTAGTGAAATGACATGAGACTGAAAGTCATTTTTATCACGGGTGAAATTATGTTATTTTTCTGAGCTGTAACAAGGGTTTGAAAACTATTACAAATAATTAAAACCCCTTCAAAGCAATAATTGTTTTCCAAAACATTAATTAAGAATAATAAATAGGTTGCCTCAGTTTCCTCTGTAATAAGCTACTTCCACAAAGAAAAACACATGGTCCAAATGACATTGTGCTAATATGTCATTCTATACAAAATGTATTACTTCGAAGTACACTGTCTTAATCTAGTGCATTTGGTCTCTTTCAGGCAGTCTGAATTGTTCTACTCTCAGTAAAAGTAAGATTGAATATTTCAGATGGGGGGAAAAGATGTTCTTTTTGTAACTGTAAGATGCCCAGGAAGTATTAACTGTCAAATGTAAAACTGGAAGTCCAGAGGAAACCAGTTACTGAAGATTGATTCTTTATATATAAATCTTGCAAATGAACCAATGTGACATATCTGTGTTAACAGAAGTATTGAAAGAAACAAACATACTTGACTATTTGTATCATGCTGTGTTTTAAAAACATTGCTACTGTTTGCCACGGTTCACTTCTGTCTTCAGCAATATTTTTGAATGGAAAGGTATGTTCTAAAACATAGCTTGTACCATTTCCATTTCTAAACTTTGGACTGTGATCTTCATAACCTGATACGTGCAGCTTTTAATGAAATTATATACGACCACAGCTTCAAGCAACAATTTTAGCTGTTCAGCAGTTACTGGTACAGAACATCAGCTGTGAGGCATTAAAATGAGCAGTTAAAACAAGCAATTTAATCCAAAACTTACGGGATTATCTGAGGTGGGTGAGGAAATGTGTGTCTTTTGGCTTTTTTTTTCTGTTTTGCTGAAAGAAGTTGTGTTCACTTTTAGAGGTGGTTGCTCTCTGATCTGGTAGTTACAGTCTTGGTTTATTTTTTTAAGCATAGCACTGCTACCTCTTCCACTTCAGCTTTCAGTTCTGTCTATCAGCAGTCTGTTTTTGCATTAATAGACTTACCTTAATAGACTTGACTATATGTGAGTTTTCCTACTGAAGATAGCAGGATTGCCTTTGTATGTAAGCATATGGCTCCACATGAGCATTGAAAATGAGCAGTTTCTCTTCGGAAGATACCAAATGAAAATAAACTTCACAACCTCCTGTAACAAAATTAATTTTTAAACCATTGTTTAGATTTTCAGTCAACTTCTAAAAGAAAATTCAGTTTTTAGCACTTTGTTCTGAGCCTTGAAAAGGGATGATTTTTTACATGTAGTTGCGCTGAGTGCTTCCTGAAGTGTTGGACATTACAAGAACATCCACTGTCCAAATCCAGTCACAGTGTGGGTCAGAGGTGCATTTATTTGTCAAAAGCTTACAATTCCACTATAAGCCTGTCCGTTTTGCCAAATATGTTTCTGTTTTTATGGGGATGAAACCAATTATGCAACATTTGAGCTGACTTTTTTGTAGTAAGAAAAGTTGTATGAAGACATTCTTGCAGTAAATGGCAAAGAAGATGCTGATCTCTAGGGATGTCAGAGCTCTCAGGGATAAATAAAGGTGCTATACACTGTCAAGAGACAGATTTGACTGTCTTGTGGGCTTGGTGGAAAATGCTTTTTAGGATCAAATTCTATGAAGAGTCAGGAGAAGAACCCACAAATTGTAGTAAGGGCTTCTGCCCATTTGATTTCTTTCTTGGTTGCTCTGATGAGAGATTTTTTGGCCAGTGAATCTTTGTAGTCTTGGGCTAGCAGCTCTTCTCTAAGAACACAAGTCAGAGCCCTGTTCATTGCAAAGGTGTCGCTGACTTAGCAGGCTTAGCTGTAGGCTGCAAATCACTCCTCACCCCATTCTGCAAGGGAGAAGCTCCATGGTACACAAGGGAGTTTTGCATAGTTTTTCTGCAGCCTGCACAGCAGTGCTCTCCTTTTTCTGCTGTCCCCCCTGAAGAGCAGGAAAAGTTTTATGCCTTAGTATTGCTCTCATTGTGATACCTTCTGCACAAGTGAACTTGGTAAAAACTAGAAGTGTAGGGTGCTATGGTTTATATCTAGAAATACATTTAATTCAAAGCAGGTGAGCAAGGCAGAGTTCCTATAATTTCTGTGGATGAAAAGCTGCTCAAAGTTATCATCAACATTTAGGAAAAAAAGTAAAATAAAGTAATGACAAATAACAGTAAAATAAATGTGAACTAAAATGGAAAAAATTTTTGGCATTTTGAGAAATGTATTTTTGGCTCCTCTTGTAATCCTGTGTATCTTTTTTTGAAGTGGATGACATTTGGAGCAATTTTCTCCAAAAATAGCTTCTTAAATTTAATAAGTAAGACTACCTGAGGCTGCTGGTGCATTTTTCTTGTTGGAGCAGCTGTTAAAATTGAGTGGCTTGTAGATTTCAGTGGCCTTTGGACCAAACTTGGGAACTGCAGGGTTGTTTATCATACGAGCTAGCTGTGTAATGAGACCTCAGTTTTAATATCGGTAGCGTTACTAAAACCCTGGGCTTAAAAATAGTGAACTCATTACTATATTTCAATAGTTAGTTCAAATTACTAATTTAAAAGAAACAACATTTCCATTGCTAAGAACTCTGTGCTTTAGAGTTTAGGGTTTGGGGTTTTTTTCAATACTGCAACGTCATGCAAAGCCAGAGTCCAGTCCTGCAAGATGCACAATTCCTGCAGTTCTTCCTGATATTGTAGGAATTAAAATGGGCTTATTGCCAATGAAAGCTTGAGCCCTTAAAGCATGAATACTCACATGTCTGCTTTAAATTTAAATACAGATTACAAGAATTAACCAAAAGAATTCAGAAGAAATGTTGTTCATATATGGAGCTACAGCATTCAAAGAAAAGTAGCTGAGATAGTTCAGAAGAAATTGTCTTGTGAAAGTACAAGATGTTGGAAGTAGAGAGTGCGGATTTGAGGAATGGCTGAAGGCATTTGGAGGAGGATTTGGAACATTTTGTATCCACAGTAGAGCTGCTAGAGAAGTTTGATTCATATGGTATGTTTTTCATGGCATGGTAGGGTAAGTGAATATGTAGTCATAGGTGTTATTTTTACTGGCTTTTTAAAATGTGATTTTTGAAACTCCAAATATTTTTTTTTTCAGAGGCTCTGTTATTTTTACATATCATCCTTTCCAAATGTATTTAATGCAATCTGTCAGCTCAGTTTCTGTTTACTTACTAAAGGTCAGATTTTTCAAACCATGGTCTCTGGTTTTACCAATGCAAAATGCAGG